TCCTCTGCCACGGTTTCAACCTGGATCTCCCACGTTCTGGCCTCAGAGTTAGGGAATACTTTGTTCCGTACTACAGCGTAATAACCGCTCCCAGGTTGCAGGTTGATAGTCCTCTCCCTTTGCCGTAGACATCTGTCGGTTCACCGTTAGGTGTCCTGTTTAGTTATCGTCCCTCTTACTGGGTCATAACGTAGGACGTGGACCCTAACAGAGACCCCTCAAAATAGGGGGTATCTCTAGTCCCCAAATGGTAAGGCTTACCATCTGAAATATCCAATTATAATGAACGCTTATCCTGGATTCTAACACAGGCGGCTTCATGTCTCCAACTTAGCCCTTCATGGAACGGTCAATGACGCCGAATCCACGGCCCACCGCGTTGTTATGTAGCGATGGTGCCCTTGTTGGTTACTCAACGATAAGCAACTTTTCCTATCTTTGTACCGCGAAGGGTTCCGACTCTTGACTTAATCAACCCCAATGCCCTTCCCTCTAGCTAAACCTCTCAGGGCGGCCGACCCTTCAAGACTTAACCTTTGGTAAGCCATGGTCTTGCTGCCAGGTTGCGCCGGTCAGCGGCCCTCGCTGGGAGTTAGGTTCTACAGTTCCAGCGATGCTAAGTATAGCCCCTTAGCTTGGCCTCACAAAATATATCCCTTGGACTGACTCCATTGTGGTCTGGTACTTTCTTCCAAAAAGCCTTCTGGACAAACAAAGGATCACATGCCAACTGCCCACGGGACTACGTGGAGGGATAGTGCATTTCTCAACCATTTCAACCAATTCCTCTGTGATTCCACAAGGTCGTGCCTTCCTTAATTTGATCAATAGTAGGCAAGGTCACACGTCTTTTAGGGACACCTCTCAAAATCTTTCAAAAGTTTCATCATAATTGTCAGAAATTTTCATTCATTATTCTCACAAAATATTTGGTCTTTCCTCGTCAGACTTTACATACACACAAAAATTTATCATCACTATAGCATCTCTTTTGAGTGCTCTAACAATTATCATCTCTTTAAGAAAGTCCAATCGGCCATTGGGTTTTCCTCTCTCTTTTTAAAGTCACACAGAAGACACAACTTTGGTTGTGACCTTTTCATTCACAACTACTCCATCCGTGCAAAACACATTATGTCATCTCTTCCTCAAAAATATGGAAGGCACTTTCTCCCAGTATACTTTGGGCTCCACTTGTTACTAGGACCCGGATGCATAAGTTTAGCGCAAGAAAGCGCATATCAATTCATTTCACAACATTCATCTCATCACACCATCATCCATATGGGCAAGTCCACAAACTGAGAGTGAGTGTGACACACCATTCATACAAAAAAACAAGGTTCGAGACTTACATATGTACACAGGATATGGGGCCCTGGAATAGGCAAAGACTCATGTCCTTACCGAAAAATCAAAGTATCGTACAAAGAGTTCCAGTATCCAACAGGGAGTCAAGGTATCCAAGTGTCAAAGCATCAGAAATCAACAGTCACTCCAGACTCATGAGTGTCACTCTACTTTAGACGACAAAGAAGCCATAGCTTTACACAAAGGTATTATGAAAATCCTCCACACCATACTAACGGAAAATAGGAAAGTAGTCACAATTATTCACAGTGTTATTATATGTACAGAAAGTCTATAATACGAAAGTAGACCTCTCACTACTGGCTCAACTTGCTGATGTACATGGGTTTAATCCAATCCTCCATGTATCCCTCTATATACAAGTAACCACCAGTCAGAGAGTAAGAGAGGTCTTGTGTATACCAGACTCAGACCTTTCCGGACCTTATTAAAAGAATCCTACTTCTGATCACTCATGCTCTTCTGCAGTTGCCTATACAACTGCGCCCTCACCCCATCACGAGTCTTAGGAACCAGGACTCCATTCCTATCTCTCAACACTACATACGACTCTCTGATAGCCAACCCATTTGCCTTGTCCTTGAGGCTTTTAGGGCAGTCGTCAGATCGATACTTGCCCTTCTTGCAGTAGAAGCATTTGTCAATCTTCTTCTGCGACATCTTGTCTCCTTCCTGCGAGGGCGCTGATAACGGGGCTTCAGTGGCCTTACTCATGACCTCCTGCGGCGGAACCTCTGGGGAAGTGGGGCAGGTCGCTCTGTCATCTGCTCGTATCACGTGCTCGTCGCCACGTCCCCCTGGCCCTTAACGAGTGGCCCAAGACCCCAATGCGTCTCGCAGACCTGCAACCAGAGGCATATCCTGAGGTACACCCGATTCCTGACATCCTTTCAAATCCCTCCTTGATTCTTCCTCAACCATGGTCTGAACCACGCTCTCCTGACCCTCCTGTTGTCCCATGGTCTCTCACTGAGTAGTAGGCGGAACCACTTCAACTCCTATGGTCTCAGCTGGTGGCCTCTCTTCTGGCATCGCTGGCTCTTGTCCAAGTGTCAGGCCAGCCGGCATCCTCCATTCAAATTCTCCAACCTTTGAGCTCTTCACTGCTAGTGCCCTCTGTGGCTCCAACATCTCTTTGTCTATCAGGGGAATCTCCTCACCCTTATGTTGGTCCGCCTTTTCTTCTTCCTTCTGGCATTTGAAGGGTTCTTCTTTAGGTTGTTCCCCGATCTAAAATCCTTGGACCTCTGTCCAATCCACCACTGCAGTAGGATCCTGTCGTGTATACCTAACTTTGAGGTCTTGTAACCGCTTCTCCTATTCTGCCTCCTTTGCTTGGAAGGAGACATGTTGTGCTTGTAGATAGGCCCTCAGGACGTCATTGACCTTATTGAGGGTCTGGTTGACTTGCCTAACAGCCTCGTTTTCTTTACATGTTTGCCTTCATTGCCTCCATCTCTTTGCCTTGTCTTTCCAACTCCTTCTTCAGGTCTCCAAGTTTCCTTTCCCAGTCCACTCTCTGGCCATATACCTTTTGCGCCACCTTTGTCAGTCTCTCCTGAACCTTCTGATCCGAAACTCTGGCTGTTGCGAAGCCTTCCTTCATCACGCCCCTCAGGTTGAGTAGGTCTGTAGAGACTAGCTTGACCCCCATCTCCTGGTGATGCCCTCCAGACCTCCCTGCAGCGTCCATCAGCTTGTCAAAGCTGACCCAGACCTCTAAAAATAGGGGAAGGTCCTCCTCCCGAGTGTGAGTGCCCTTACCACTTCTGTCATGCACTTCCTCAGACTCTTTCCCCTGCTGCATCCTCTCATGCAGCTCTGCAAGGTTCTTCATTCTGAGCTGAACCCTGATCTGTTGCTCTCTCGCCGCTCTCTCTTTCCTGTCCAATTCCTTCTCCTGGGCAGACTACTCCTCCCTTTGCTCCTGCACATGTGACTCATGAGGCACGTGTGGCTCTATGTCTTGCATAGGACAATCCACCTCCCTCTGAGTAGGTTGTGGAGGCACCGCTGGACCACCTAACCCTCCTGCTCTCTCGTGCCTATGGGTTCTGTGCTCCTTCCTCCTGTCCTCCCTTTGAGTCCCTGATGGCATCCCTCGCTCAAAGGCCCTCCTCTCCTCTACTTCTGGCTCCCTCCTTCTCTTTTCCAGACTCCTCTCCCCTGCCTGACGTGCTGGAGCATAGTGGTCCCAGACCAACTTCTTGCAGTGTCCCCAGTTCGTAGCAGGTGTCACTATAGACCTGACAAAGAATCTGATGTGTCGTCTTACGTACAGGAGGAAGCTCCTCATCCACTGCTCTCCTGAAACATCAAGCTCGTCCGCATATCGGTCATAGGCCCATAGGAACTCCCCCAGATTATTGGAGTCAAACCGAATGAGCTGTCCATCTCTCCCCACTGGCGACGGGTGCAAACTCTACATCTTTCTCTCAAAATCCTTCCACGTTAGGGATTCCCTGAAAAGGTTGGCAATGGGGTCTGTCCACTCGCCTGTGCCTCGCACCTCTCTCAGCATCCTGGTGCCATCCCATCCAAACTCCCGAGCATGCCTCTCGAACTCAATCAGGAACAACTCAATGTTCCCTCCCTGAAAAATTGGAGGCCTGTCCTCTCTCCTGGTGCCCATCTGCGTCCTTTGTCTGGTCGCCCCTAGAGGGGTTTCCACTGGCTTTGCCCCTCCCTTCCCTGTTGGCATGGCTGCCCCAAGCGGTGTCAAGCCTGCACAACAAGGAGGAGGCAAACAAGAGCACACAGATGGTAAGCAGGTTGGACAAACACAACAGGAGACATACATAACCCTCCCACAACTATCCCAGTTATCTGCTTATCCATATATGCATACATACATACATGAGTCTTACCAAAATGTCAACATCTGTCACGCTATTCTACTGAAAATAATATCAAAAACATTCTACTTATACTAATGTTTGTATATAAAGTGCTCAGAGCATGCTTCTAACCGGTGAGGTCCACGCTCACCTCGTTTCGAGCAACGAACTTCTTTAGCCTCGGGCCTAATACCCAGTCTTTCCACGCCGTCCTATTCAACTCCTCAATCTGATAGGCTCCATGCTCACCACACCTGGTGACCCTGTATGACCCCAACCACCTCTTGTCTAACTTCTACGACCACTGCTTCTCCAGGGACGAGTCGTATAGCAGCACAATGTCTCCCACCCTGAGGGGTTCTCTTCTTACTCTCGCCATCTTATCCCGCCTGAACTTGTCCTTGGTACGGCTGTCAGGCGTCCTACTCGCCGCTTCCTCAATTATGTCCTCTATAGCACCAATCTGACGTGCCCTTGAAGCAAGCAGCTCTTCAAACGTCAAATTAGTCTCGAGGTTATGCCGCCTCCAGGTCTTTAGGAAGCTTTCGATAGGAAATGTTGCATGCCTGCCATACCATAGTGTGGCCGATGCGTAGCCGGTGCTTCTCCGGACAGTGACATTATCCACGAGGAAAGCGACCCTTAGAAAGTTCGGCCACTGATTGGGTCTGTCATCTGTCCATTTAGCGAGAAGGTTTGTGATGGTGCTATGCCCTCTTTCCACCGGTGCATTAGCTTGGGGTTGCGCTGCGGTAGTGTACTCGGCGATTACCCCATACCTCTTCAAAAGTGTCTTCACCTTTGCACAGGTGAACTCAGACCCTCTATCCATCACAAATCTGGAAACAAAGGGGTAGCGCAGGTTATACTCTTCGATGCATCAGGTCAGCGTCTCCCCAGTCTTCGTACGAAAGGCCCTGCCATCTACAAACTCAGAGAGGTTGTCCCGCGCATCAAAGAAAAAGTTATAACTCCCTATTCCCAGCGGCATTGCCAACAGATCCAGGTGCGGGACGACTCCAACTTCACGAACATATCTTGGGTGAAGCGGCTCCCTAGGTCTAAGAGAGGATCGCTCCTGGCATGGTGTACAAGATTTACAATAATCATCGATCATCTGTCCCATGCCATCCCAATAGTACAGTTCGTGTATCTTGAGATATGTCGTATCCGTGCTTCTGTGGCGACCTGCCGTACCATCGTGCAGTGTTGCCATAACGTCAATCTGGCGAGCGACGCCGCAGACTACTCTTCTGGGAGCCCTCCCTTTGCTTCTCATGAAGAGATGGTCATCCCTTACCAGAAAGTTTGGCCTCATCTTCAGAACTCTCGCGCAAGCGTCCCTTTCCCTTATCTCACACGACAGAAGCATTCTGAGTTCAAGGTATAATCCCTCATATTCCTCTGCCCGAAACGCTTCCTTAATCTCACCTTCCTCGAAGTCATCATCTTCCCTCTCGTGGATCACATTATCACCCTCTTCCTGATCTTGCACAGTATTCCTGACCACCTCTTCCTGAAGCAGGGCATTCGCCAATATATACACCCCACCTATCACTTTCCCGTGCTTGTCCACCTGCAACGCCCCATCCTCAATCGTGAGCAGGTCCTCATGTAGTTGGTACTTGCCTGCTAAAGCCAGCTCCATCATCCAATCCACACCTGGTATTCCCCAAGAGTCTTCTTCAATATATGGCTTAAGGACTAGGTTTGTTCGTCGTACCTGCCCTGGAGGCGCAAGCCAAACAGGTCGCCCTAGGGTAACATGGTTACCCACTGCCAATAACCAAGAGTTTATGTGAAGTCTCACATCCTCCTCACTGTTCAGGAACCCGTCAACTGGTGGAGTATCCTCGATTACTCTTTGGTTGCTCTTGTCCCAGTCGATTCGACTCAGCCCGTCTGCCCTGTTCTTATTTCCCGGAATTCGCTTCAACGCAAAGTCAAACATTCAGATGTACGTTAACCATCTGGCGATAGTTGGATCAGAAAGGAGCGAAGTTTTTGAGAGAACCAGCTAGAGCAGTTGGGTCCACCCTTAGTACAAACCTCCTGCCAAAGAGGTAGTTTATGAAAATCCTCAAGCAGTGGAGAACTTCCGATGAGCAGGATCGGATTGAAGCTCCCGTTGGTATGAGGGAGTATACGCCGTCTGTTGAGTGAGAGAAAGGATACTTCCGATGATGGGATGTGCGAGTCATAGCGAACTTCCAGTTAAATATGGAAGTGTACATCGTTGTCCAACCGTGCGCTCAGAACGTTTAAGCGTGGTTTGTACTTTCGATAGCATGAGCCACTCCCCACTCCCATCAATAGGATGAGCAAAATCTGAATGAATCTTCCGTTAGAACTCGAAAAGATTCACTACTACTTTGAAAATTTTCACGGGCGCAGCTCTACTCTCATGTACGGACTAACTCACTAACCTATCACAAGCTCTAACTCCATCATCTAACTCGCCCTATGTCAAAACCCCGAAGTCGTGTTTTCCCCCGCTCAAAAACCATTGGGACATGAAAAAGGTACCCATCCCCCCCCTTCCACCATATCCACCTTCATACTACCTTGGTGCAGCTCCGTTCTCACATAACTCCAATCCTACTTACCCTCCCCTAAAACTAACATCATCATTAAACTCGCAATTCCCGAAAACCTTAACCTATCACCTTCTTTCACTCGATTTCATCAAGAATCGAGTGAAATCTCAAGTTTCCTTACTCCATCCTTTCTTCTCCCGCCATCTCTCGGCGCACTGTTTCTTCCTTCTAACTTTATTTCTACTAACTTACTGACGAATCTAACCTCATAATCGTGCTCGCGCGAGGTCAAAACCTCAAAATCGGCTCTTACTTCGCCCGATTACGTTAAGGAACGGACGAGTTATGTTTTCTTCGCTCGACCATAACTTCTTCGCTGCTTCTCAAACTTCGAATGCACCCAGCGCGAATTCGCGCCAGGTTCATTCTCTCCCACTCTTCACTTACTCCCGATACTCTCCATGCACTTCTTTCTCTCTCCATCACCTATCTTACTAACCTTTCGTCGATACTAACCTTACCATCTACAGCGCCTGGGGCCAAAACCCCGGGATCAGTTCCTTCCCCGCCCGACTGCATCAAGAAACGGGCGGCTTTACAATCTCATATCCACCATCTCCCACCTCCCTCATCGCACATGCATCCGGCGCATGTTCGCGCCCAGATGCGGTGCTTTTCTTTACTGCCTTTGCTGCCCCGATTCTCTGCCTCCTCTTACTACTAACGCAGCCTCCTTCTCGCTGCCTTTTCTTCCTGCTAACGCAACTCCCTTCTCGCTGCCTGCTTTTCTGCCGTCTGGCGCTCCGATTTGCATGAACTTGGCGCAGTTCCGAGCCTAAATTCAGTCTCCCATTTTTGCCTTTACACTACCATCTATGCCAACTGCCAACCGACCCAGCCCGCAAGAGGGGATCCACTAGTTACAGACAGCGGGACACTGGTCACGGGGGTCGAACTTTGCTAAGTGTATAACAACTCACTGGCTAGATCAACCAGCTTTGAAAATGGACAGCGCTGAATTGCGCTTGCAATACTCAACCGTCGTAGTGGTTCCAACGCAGCAGTGAGTGGGAGGGTGCGGGGCTGCTGCAAAGCCAGAAACGTGGGCCGCGGTGAGGCGGGTTCCATGTAATCCACCGCTATAGCAACCTCCGCCTTGGTGCACCCGACCCAACTGCGCTATCGCACGCGGCGGTCCCGCACCCCGCTGGGAGCGCTTAACCTCACGATCGTGTCACACAGGATTTATTCTTGAAGAACAACAAGTCACCACACTGACCGTGCGCGCCGGCTATACCTCTCACGACAGCCAACGACAGGTCGGGGAGCCGTGAGGTACAACTTACCTCTACCCGAGGGGTTGTCAGCACGCTCAGGTACTCGTATCCCTGCTGAGCTACCGGCCTACATGTGAAGGTTTTTACATGTCTTTGTAGAGGTAGCTCGGTCGAGGGCGTTTGCTCGATCGTTGTAGCATAAAATGGGGTACGCGTGGTAAGACGCCTAGAACTGACCCGTTAGATATTCAGGTCGAACTTTTGAAAGGCAGTCTATTTCCGCTTTCTTTATATGACTTAAATGAACATCTGGTAGTATAGAAATTAACTAGGATAGATAATTAATATGGGAGTATTACCGCCGAGAACCCTTCCCACTTTTACAAGTGTTGTGCGTCCGTGACTATTCAACAGATCAGGTTCAGTTCAATCCAAAATCACACACAAAACAAACCTGCACAGAATAATGCAAAAACAGTTCACATGCCATGCACTAACGGAGTCAACCATCAATCCACACCTTAGACAATGTCCCTCACTTCCCAAACCATGTATGACAGCACTATCTTTCCTTTGACGTAAGCCCATCCCCCTCACATTTCTTCAAAGGACCCTTGAGAGTGACGAGGACCATTTAGGCAATGACCACAGGTGACAGTTTTAATGATCACAGGGTTTGACTTTAAAGGTGGGTATCAAGTCGAAGGGGAAAAGTTGAATCTGTAACGACCGACCTGTTATCGAAAGATAACAGAAATTTGGGTCCTTCATGTAAAACCTCTCCCTTGAAATGCAGTAGATAAACAGGGACCTGCACACACACACGTCAACAAAGATTCAACACCCCTACTCGATTTTCCACTTATTGATATCTAAGGGTCAAGTCCTCAGACATGGGTAGTGAGCTCTGGAATCGACATCCCAGGTTTATCCCTACTTTTACTCTCACAACCCTACCCTATGTCATTTGTCACTCTCTCCTTTCTCTCAAGGAGTCTCATGCATGTGTCCTAAGTCGTCTTTAGGGAAACTCATGTTTACCCTGCTCTCAGTCATTTCATTCTCTCTCTTCTTAAACAAGCACACCCCTTGGTGCTTATGTAATAGAGAGTTAACTCTTTCGCCGTTGTGGCCTCCCACTCGAAAGTCATAAACGGACACAGACCTCGCGATAGTTCTTATCTTACTAGTATTTTTTTTTCCTCGGTCCTATCTTCTTTCCTTGTTTCTTTTCCTAGATATGTGAAGACCTTGCTCCAATAGGAGCATTGTTCTTTCCTTTCTCTTAAATTTTTTCTCACATACTCAAGTAGTAGATCGATTCAGATATGAACCTTCTGCTACTTGGTCAATACCAAGCAATCTGTTAGTCGAACAGACTGGTGAGTAAGTCGCACATAAGTATTTGATCCTGTTTTCAGTTTCCCTCAATGTATGCATATGATTTAATCAGAGTAGTAGGATATCCCACACATGAGCATCCTTCCTTCAACAAATAGTTGAGGCTCCTACAGAAGCACCCTATTACTTGCTTTAGGTATCCTTCTGAAAGATCTGGATGTCGGCCCCTTTCCAGAGGTTAATAACGGTCTGCGTGAATAATAGGCGACCCACACAAGAGCCTCTTGCTATCACGTGACAAGGTCCTTCTTCATGAGAGCATTAGGATAATCCTAACAAGGGTATCATGTTGCCCTTCCAAAGCCGACCGACCTGAGACCGGGTTAGTTTGGACAGAAGACGATATTCAGGGTATTTCTACATGATTACCCTTCCCCCTTGTAAGTTAGTATCAGAATCATGTAGGTAATAGACAAATCCCAATAGAGGTCCCTCTACTACTTTCCTTGGTTAATGAGTACTCCAGTCGTTAAACTAGTAAATAGGATGACTCCTACAGAAGTCTCTCTATTACCGGTCTGGTGGTCGGACTGCCCGAGGATGAACATGATAGGAAAGAAAGAGTAGCAATGTGATTTCCTACTCTTTGCAGGTTGTTAGCTAGCCTTAGACTCAAGCGCGTGAATAGGATGACCCTCCCAGGAACCCCCTACTACACCTTGAATAAGTGCAAAAACCGAGTATTCCCGAGCGGTAAATAAGAAAGGAAGTTAGGAAAAAAATCCCCTGAGTTAACTTTTCACAACAAACAGATCCTAGTTAATCAACTTGAAGGTGGTGAGGTAGCACACACAGGAGTACCGCCACCTTTCGATTATGCCAATCATCCCGGCCTCAAAGAGCAAGTGTCCAACCCATACGTGGGTTTTCTACTGCCTTCGGAGACTGGTCCGGTAGTCCAACGGAGCGACCCACATAAGAGTCTCCCTTTATTATTTTTGAATGTCAGACACCTCTTCCCGTCACGACGACAGTCGATACGGTAAAGGATAAGGTAACTCACACATGAGTACCTATGTTAGGTCGTAAGTTAATGTTAGACACCTCTGCTCGTCACGACGACAGTCGATCCGACAGATGGTAAGGCAACCCACACATGAGTACCTAAGTTAATTCATAAGTCAATGTTAGACACCTCCGCCCGTCACGAAGACAGTCGATCAGGCAGATTGTAAGGTAACTCACACATGAGTACCTAAGTTAGTTCATAAGTTAAAGTCAAACACCTTTGCCCATCACGACGACAGTTGATCAGGCAGATAGTAAGGTAACTCACACATGAGTACCTAAGTTAGTTCATAAGTTAAAGTCAAACACCTCTGCCCATCTCGACGACAGTCGATCAGGCAGATAGCAAGGTAACTCACACATGAGTTCCTAAGTCAGTTCATAAGTCAATGTCAGAACCCTCTTCCCGTCACGACGACATGTCAGAACCCTCTTCCCGTCACGACGACAGTCGAACCGGTAGAGCGCAAGGTAACTCACACATGAGTACCTAATTTAGTTCATAAGTTATTGTTAGATACCCCTTCCCGTTACGACGACAGTCGTTACGGTAGAGAGTACCTAATTTAGTTCATCAGTTATTGTCAGATACCTCTTCCCGTCACGACGACAGTCGTTATGGTAGAGAATACCTAATTTAGTTCATAAGTTATTGTCAGATACTTCTTCCCGTCACGACGACAGTCGTTATGGTAGAGAGTACCTAACTTAGTTCATAAGTTATTGTCAGATACTTCTTTCTGTCACGACGACAGTCGTTACGATAGAGAATACCTAATTTAGTTGATAAGTTATTGTCACATACCTCTTCCCGTCACGACGACAGTCGTTACGGTGGAGAGTACCCAATTTAGTTCATATGTTATTGTAAGATACCTCTTCCCGTTA